CTAGGCTTTCCTCCCAGCATTTTAATTCTATTCCAGCTCTCAGCCTGAAGCAACGAGAAAAGCAGAGGGATATTCTCCACGTGTCAAGGCTGACTCAAGGTAAGACATTTACGTGAGGGAGGTACACCCCTCCTTGTGCCATTGGGAAGCTTATTGACTTCACACAAGTACCTAAAGCAAGCAAGTCTCAGGTATACATTCACCTCTACTGCCAAAGAGCAAACTCCCTTGCTTACATGGAAGAGACAAATGTATCCAGAGTACTTGAATGGGACCTTTCAATTGGAAGCTTTCAAATACCTTTTTAGGCCATAAGATCTTAGCAGTATGCACCAGGAGCAGGAACAGCTGCAGGCCACAGAGCTGAAAACTTAAAAACCTGCAGGACCTTTCCACTCTGCTGTTGACAACACACAGGATGCTAATATCCAGCAAAGCATACAAAGTATGTTCTCAGTTTTCCTGTGAGTATCACATGGGAAAAAACAGACAAAAATCTGCAGAAGGAAGACTTCCTCAACGAGCTTTTCTCTCTACGTACTTAAAGCCAAGACAGAACCTACTGAAAGAGCCTTTAGATTGATTTCTTAGGAAGAAAAAAAAAAGCAAAACTAATTTGTGATTAGAAGGCACAAAGATGTTCAGTCAGACGGAAGCATTCCTGAAAAGCAAGGGAAAAACTACCCAATCAATTTATTCAGCTGCCCTAAAGGGTAAACAGCAAACTTGAGCACAATCTACAAATCCTGACTATTATTAACAGTTTGACCAAAAGCGGATATTTTTTTTTGTGGTTATCTTCATAATTGTGAAATCTGGTGAACTAAAAAATGCTTAAAGGTTGAAAAAAGAAGAGGGTGACTCTGCACTATTGCTCCCAGTGTGAGGTTCAGTTTCCTCACTCAGAAGAGATCAGCTAAATAAAAGGTGGTTTCAGCCGGTAGTGGACACTCAATGAAATTAAAACAAGAGAGGCTTTCTGGGTTTCAAATTTACCCAAAAGGCATACATCTTAGCATTCACAAAACTTTGTGTAACAGCCCATAAAAACCTCCTTTTCAAAATGATCTGTCAGTAAAGCAGGTTTCTGGAATTGTCAAAATGTCTTAAGGAGAAAACCAAAGCTATTTTTAAGTGGGAAATGCTCCCTTTTCAGTACTAGGACCCTGTGAGGCAAAGACTGTATTCTTTCTGTCTGTAGCTGTGAGCCATGGCATGTGTATTGCTAAGCAGAAGGCAATTCCCTTTCCACCTTGTTTTTCCTGAGGAGCCCTTCCTTCTCCCTGCCCACCCCAAAACCTCCCCCTTAACACAAGGCTAAACATTCCTCTCTCTTCTGCAACTTGCAGAGCTGCCTCAGTCCATGAATATTTTTTTGCCCTTAAAAAACATTTAAGATAGTTTAACTAGGTTTTTAGTTTCAGTTAAGTATGAGGCTGGGGAGCTATTGACTTGCAGTAGTAGTTGTGGAAGGATTGGTGGAGGATAAAGGGCCCTTAGTGTCAGGGGTTTTGGTTTGCATTTCTCTTTCCTACACAGGTCTCTGGAGACCACAGGTGGGTGCATAACACGGGAAGGGCAAAGGCCTCCATCAGAGGAGAGCTGTCTCCAGTAGTTTCTCAACCATAAAAATTTGTGCTGCTCCTAGCTAAGGGCACGATAGGTTTTCCTTTATGATTGTTCAGGGTGACAAATAATCCTGATTCACAACAGCAAGGATGATGGAAGAATACTCTGAAGGATTAGTCAGTTTGTGTCTGTAAACAGTCAAAGACTTACCAGTACTCAAGCTGCAAATGGGGCAGAGGTAAACCCCAAACTAAAAACCCTTCTGAAGATCCATCACACCATAGACTCAGGAAGTATATGCCCCCTCCTGAGGGCTGTCATCGTTATTCTTAGGCTTTTTGCTCAAGTGGACCTACTTGAATTGGAGCAAGGCAGCAGTGCTGCTGTTTGAATCCAGAGATTGCTATTTTTGACATTGCTGCTTTTAACCATCAGTGTCACAAGCAAGCTTCAACTTGCTTTTGGCAGCAAGGCAATGAGGGAAAACCCCTCCTCTTCCTTTCTCCTCTGGCCCTGCTCTCACTGTTGTGCTCAAAGTGGAAGTTTTACTTTCTCCAACCTGTTTAGTTTTGACAAAAAAGGAACAAGTATTTAATTTCTATGCTGCTAACGTAGACCATTCAAGCACCTTTGTTAACAGGACAATTGTAAATCTGTGAAACTGGCCTGCAGACAAGATATGTGCAGCAATAACTTCATTTAAATTAGGCACCTACACCACAGACTTCATATCTGCAGATAAGAGTCCTAAGGCCCTTTTAATCTCATTTTATATACCTTTCTCATAGAAAACATAAAGCTCCTTTACAGGTAAGCAGAATGTGAAAGACAATAAACCATTTAGCTAAATGCTAAGCATAAACAGCTACAATGCTGTGCAATCATAAAACACCGTTAATCATTTACATCAGGAAATGCCAAAGTAAGGGGCGAACACACACAACCTTATCTGTTCCTTCTGTACACATGTTGGTTACAAGCTTTAGACAAATTACTTATGTGCATGATGTGCAATGGCTAAATGGGGTTCAGTTCCCTGCCCTGGGTGCTGAATTCGTACACCTTCAAAAAAGTCTGTGTTCACTGATTGCAAGTGAGTTGTAACTAAAATTGTTTGGAGCTGCCTTGTCTTCATCTTGGAGCATTTTTATTAGTGCTGGTCTCCCCTTGAAAGGGATATAATTTTTTTTCTTGTAGAACATCATATAATGCATTTTTGCCTGCCTTTAATCATATTTTCAATGACCCCCTCTTAAAAACCCTGCAGGGAAAGCTTTCCAGTAGTGTCTGAACGCTGCTAAGTTACTTCTTGATCCTCTGTAGGAAGATGTGCAAGCGAATCCCAAAGTGGTTCTTCTAAATGGTATTCCAGAGCAACTTTTCCAGAGAGATTTTCTTCCACTGTGCTCTTAATCATAGTAATTTCAGTGATTTTTGTGGAAATTTTTTTGTTTTTTCTGTTTTCAACTCAGAGGAGTTTTCTCCTGAATAACAGAAACGAAATCACATCCAGTACCCTGCCATTACAGGTAGGTGTCATGTAACCGTTCTCTGAATTTATCAAGCTTCAAACAAAGTCAGTCACCTTGTTCAGCTAAAGGCCTTACACAGTCCCCTCTGCACCCTGCTCTGAGATCTATTCCAAGGCACGAATGGATCCAGTAAATCCTGTGCATTTAAAGTCTTCTTGCTCTGTGGGATACTTCAGAGTTTACTTTGTCTCCTCTGAGTTGTTTGATCTTTTGGGGGTGGGGGTTGTGGTGGGAGGTATGCAGGTGAAGCATGTTGACATGGACCTGAGATGCACAAGCCTTTTAAGATGGGGAAGGAGAGCAAGAGAATTCCAGAAACATTGTTACCAGCTAAAGATAGCAACAAAGAAATGTCCTAAGACAGTATTTTTTTTTTTATCGTTACAGGTGAGATGGAGAAGCTGTATGGACAAATCATTGAAATCCAAAGAATTCATCAAAAGGTGCAGTTACATGGTACTGTCACTGTAGAGGTAAAAATCAACACCTTTAAAACACATGAACACCCTGCAGCCTCTATCTCCTGTTTTGTTTGTTTATTTACTGGATAGGGAGTAAAACGGGTTCAGCACAGGGTCTGATGCGTGGCAGGGCTGGGAGCAAAGCAGCACTTCCCCTTCTGGCACCAGCAAAGTTCAGTCAGCTCAGCTGGGAAAGCTGCACCATCAAAACAGCTTGCTGCATGTTTTGACATGTACATTAACTGATAGCCTAAATAAATGGAGGAAAATGCACATCTCTTGGATTTAGTCACAATTTCTACACAGCTTTCCCAAGCGATGGAAGACCTGACAGCTGGGCATCCTGTCCCGAGCAAGGTAAGTGCAGCATTAAAGGCAGCTTGCTCCCCTAACCTGAGCCACCAGTGGTGCACAGGGGCCGTACACAAATGCAGAGGAAAGCTATCTGTATCTTTACAGCACTAGCAAATCTGCTTGAGACAGGAGAAACGCTCTGTTAAACTGAAGAAAGCAAGTAACAAGAACCCGAGCCTTGATTATGGACTATCATTGAGAGAACCACAGAATTCAGAGGAAAAAAAAAAAAAAATTACAAGAGGCTTAGCATTTAATGCTCTAAAGTAGTAAATCCACAGAAAATCTTCCTGAATTCAAATATGCCTAAGACACATTTTAACTTATTTTTTTAAAGTTTTCTCAAATGCCATCTTATGCTCCCAAACAACTAAGCTCCAGTGTTACATTTGCTTTCTCAGTATTCTACAAAACAGGTTATATCCAGTGCCTCAAGTGCCCTTTTGGCATCCCAAAAGCTCTTTCCAATAAATAGCAAGCAAGCCTTGTATTTGCATTTATCTTACCTTTTAAACTCAAGTAACCTGAAAATGTCCCACAGATTAAAGCTGATCTAAGCAGTTATTTTTTTCTAGCAGTTAGAGAAAGTTTGGTCTAAAATTATGCATGTTACCGACACATAATTTTACTACTTAAAACCAGAATGCCCTCAAATGTTTTAACAAAAAACAATACACCTCCCCCATTTGTGCCTGTTGACTCTCAACAAAAAAAGACAGCAGGCACTGCAATCTGCCTAAATGTAAGTTTTTCTTCTGGCTGTTTTATATTTTAATTAAGTAAAGACTGACCCTGGTGTGGAAATAGATTAATTCTCCTCCAGTAGTGCCTTTTCATTTACTACCAGAGTCCACACACACCTTGGGACAATTTTCTGGCTTATTTCTTGTAAGACTGGTGTGAAAGCTAAATATTACAGTACTAGGCAATCTCAGTCAAAAGCGTCTCACTTTACGCAAAAGCAAGAATGTTAATGAAAAACAACCACACGGTCCACGTAGGGGGGGAAAAAAAAAAATCCCAGTTTATCACACAAACACATTTGGACAGAAAGAAAGCAAGTAGCAGCCATAACTTCACTTACTTCCACAAGAGACTTCTCACTGCAAACATGACTGAGGTCCTAGAGACTGTGGATGGGAAGGGGAAAGTCACACATGGAAAATACACCCTGACCAGTTGTCCCTTCCAAGCCAAGCAAATAAATGTCTAATTATACTACATCCCTGGGAGCAGCAGCCCTGCTACCAGGATAGGGAAAAACACCCTTTAAAAATGAAAACAAGCTATATCAGTAAAAGTGCATTTTTGCAGATAACTGCTTCTACAGCTTGGACTTCTGCTGGCACAGCTATGTCAGTCACGGGTCACACTTCGTCACAGCGCTCGCAGACAGAGCTGTGCCAGCAGAAGTTTGCCATACAGACCTGGTGGGAAACTCAACAGCAACTAAAATGAATCTGCAAAGTTTTGTGTTTTTCATGGTGCTGCCAAACTAAGTTTTGCTAACAGTCTGATGATGGGTAGTCTTATTCCTGTATTGCTGACACATTATGATCTTGGCTTCCAAGGACATAAGAAACCTAAACTTAGCTCAGGAACATGGCAATACCTATCAGCCATTTACACTGTACTTTATCCTTCAATTAAATACACAAACTAAATTAGAAAGAGCCCCTGTAGGATGATAAAATGGAATAAAATTCTGCTGTACTTTAGCACTGAGAGTAGACTGCCCTCACTTTTAATAGTAAGAAAAGAACAAAACTGAAAGTGTTTAACAGGTTTTGTTTAGCAGACAGCAAAACACTGCAAAACTCCCACCCTTCAGTTAAACTGAACAGTCAAACTGTAACGGGGCTTTTGTTATCTTCAGTCATCTTTGGCGATAGAGGACAAGGGGATTTAAATTCTGTTCAGACAAATTGACACAATACTGTGGGTTGTGTGTACGGTGATGCGTATCGTTATTCCCAAGCACAGAACGGCAAGATGTCAAAAGTGTGTGCTGCTTATCTGCTCTGGAGCAAAATTACAAAATCAAGCTGTAAATAAACTCCCACCACCCTCCATCAGGAAAAAAGAAAGCCACAGGCAAGCACTTTGGTGCCTCCAAATCTGCCTGCGTTCAGTAATGAATAAAGCCGTCTGAAGCGCAGGGCTGTGGAATGGAGAAGGGCTATGTACAGGAAGTCAGGTCAGGCTCCGGTGCTTCCATGCAGCTCAAAGTAAATCTCAAATGTAAAGCCTGCCTTTATCTTTTGTGAAGTATCGTCAGTATGTGGCCGTACCTAAAGTGAGCTGTGTTTCAGAAGAGTGACATTTAGCAGTACAAATTTCACCATCACTTCCTATTTTGATAGGGAGAACACAGAAATAAAATCATTGGCAGTGCTGTGTTTGTAAAGGCCGTGTTCCACCTTTGTCGGAGCTTTCTGGCTCTCCAAACTGGGATACAGTTTCTAGGAATTCCTTGGGCCGTGTCATGGTAAAAACTTTATTGTTATAAATAATGTACTTTTTTTTTTTAAGGAAAAAAAAACGGGGCAAAAACATCTCAAAGGAATGGTAGAGGCTAAAAATAGACACATTATCATCACTTTCGTTATCAGCCACACACAAGAAGTATAACCGTGAGCAACTTCAGGATGAGGTGTTTTCCCCTCCAGGTTAGTTTTAGGTTGCAGGGGAGCATGTTTCTGCTTGGCTGCCAGCAGCTGAGCATCACAGGGGGATATCACAGGTATGAATTTAATTGTAGTAAACAGCCCCCTCCCCCTCCAATTTAAACAAGGCCATCTAAAATTCTTAACAGCAGGCCTGCTCACTGAAGTTGTAACACCCCAAAGCAAATACTTAGCCTATTCAAAGTTTCAGAAATGGTTTGATAAAGGCTACTTGTCTAAAGATTTCAGAAGGTCAGATAAAACTTGGTGTGGCCACAAAACGTCAGAAAGCAACCGAGCCCTCTGCCATATTTACCAACAGTACTTAAGTTTAAAAAGCAAGCCCCAAACTGTTCCAAAAGCTCAGTGTTTAGGTGTGTTACTTCATTTGCAAGCGCCGCCGCCTGAGCTCGAAGCCCAGCTTTTATCGTAGGTGACATTTCTGTCATCTTCCTCGTATGGGACTGCTGAGGACCAGCAGGGAAAAGCGCTGAGACCCGTGCCTCCCCAAAAACATCCTCGCCAACCCCGCTGCCAGGTCACCCACGGCACCAGCCGAAGGTCCCATCACGGGATGCTGGCCGGCCCGGGGGGGGGCCGGGGCCAACGGCTCGCGTTAGCCCCACGGCCGGGTTCACCCCGTGGCCAGGTTCGCCCCGCAGCCGAGGTTCACCTCACTGCTGCCGCCCGCAGCCGGGGCTATAGGGTGAGCCTGGCATCCCCGAAAGCAGCTCGGAGGGCGGCTGCCAACGCGGCCCAGCC